AAAAATTAGCCTATTTTCCACTGTAGGTCATAAGCTATCTGCTTGCAAAATTTCATGCAAATCCGTTCAGACTTTTCCGCGTATTAATTTAGTTAAACATTTTTAGAAGGTGGTAACTCTTAAAAAAATTAGCCAGTTTTTCAACCTAGCTCATAAGCTATCTGTGTGAAAACTTCCATGCAAATCAGTTCACTCATTTCCGCGTATAAATTAAATTAAACATTTCTAACAGGTGGCAACTCTTAAAAAAAGTAGCCTACTTTCTAACCTAGGTCATAAGCTATCTATGTGCAAATTTTCATGCAAATCCATTCAGTCGTTCCCGCATATTAAATAAATTAAACTTTTTTAACAGGTGGCAACTCTTTTAAAAAAAAAGGCCTATTAACCAATCTGACCCTTAAGCTATCTACGTACAAAATTTCAGCAAATCCGTTCAGTCTTTTCCGCGTGATGATTTCCCAAACATCCAAACATACAAACTTTCACATTTATAATATTTGTAAGATTCTACCGTGTCTCAGTCCTTTGCCCACAAAAGCGGCTATAACTTTTTCACCTTTGGCACCTTTCTGAAATCTTTATTAAATGAGCAATTTTTTTTTGTAATGTAAAGTTATAGCTGTGGTGTAGTGGTAAGCATTGCGCGCTTCCACTCCGCAGCACCTGGGTTCAAACCCTGGTCAAAGCAACATCGCAAAAATATAGAAAAAAGGTTGTTTCTTAACAGCGGTCGTCCCGCGGCAGGCAATGGCAAACCTCCGAGTAAAAAAACAGCTTCTCATAAAAATACAATCGCCGTTCGGAGTCGGCTTAAACTGTAGGTCCCTCCGCTTTGTGTGACAACATCAAGGCGCACGTTGCACATCGGAGGAGAAGCTCGGCCAAACACTAATATTTGTGTAAGCGCCAATCTATCATCATATCAAAGTTAAAGCTCAGTACATTTTTTTTCACCAGGGATAGTCAAAGTTGGGGGAGAAACTATCAAAAAGTTAAAAATCCCAAAATAGTCCTAATTTTATGATGGTTCCTTAATATATTTTAACTACATTGCATTTGAGTACGGAGAAGCAACTATCTGGAAGTATTTTACATAAAAAATTTACTAAGTATAGCCTGGTTTGTAGATGCAGTTAAAGAAAATACATGAAAGGAAACGGTGACACTTTTACCTGAAAATATTTTGTTTGCCAAAGAGCTAACCCCCCGTACTTTCCCCTAAAGTTTGGCACGTTACTTCTGGGACACCCTGTATGTCTCCATTTTTTTAAATTTACTTTTATTAAAACGTACATGCTTATACACTATACCACTTAACTGATTTATATACTTACAGAACAACTCGCAGAAATACGTAAAGCCAGCATGGCACGTTTATTATGCAATAATGGAAACCAAATCTCTTCAATGCAGCAATCTGCTTTTAAAGCCATTTCAGAGTCGTAAGTGATCGTAGTCATACATTTATTATTACTAGAAAACGACCGAACATCGGCCCTTGCAGTCTTAGCGAAATAGACAGATTTTATCATTGCTTAGCTGAAACCCAACCAAACATGTTCGTGGTTTAAAAAATTGCCTTTTTTGAAAATTCTGATTTTTTACGACATAATGATAAAAAAATATAACGTTAGGGATCAAGATATCCGTAGTTATTTAATATAAAGTACTATATTTTGCACTATTAAACTTTATATATTATACACATGAACATTAAGGCGTATCACGAAAAAAGGTTTTGCGTTTATGTCGAGTAAAAATTTTGGGTGTAAAAATTTTTTTTGGGCACCTGCTAAAAACAGCTAAATCGCGTTTTCTGTTAAAATTTTTTTATTGAATATCCGATTATTTAAGTCTTTATGTCGCCGAAAAGGCCCCTCTGAGAACCAGGGTGGCCAGGTGTACGGTTTTTGACCGGACAGTTTTATAGTCTGTTTGCCTGGGTGATAATTAAAACAAAAACAGGACTATGGAGTGTCCGTTTTTTCTTATTCGAGAAGCAAAGTTTCATACAGGACTATGGAGTGACCGTTTTTTTCTTATTCGAGAAGCAAAGTCTCCTCAAAGATCTGAAAACTCAAACGAAGAACTCGTGACGCGGCAAATTTGCGAAATAGTTGGCGCAAATTATTTTGTAACGGATTGGTGGCAAGTGTGTTGATTTTCTCAGTCGATACTTTAAGTATTGATCGATACGGGTTTAAAAAGAGCGTACACAACAGCCTAAAATAGGTAGGGGGTTTTCCATCGGAAGGTCTACCGCGACGAAAAAATTAAATTCATATATCTAACGTATTTATGGGCCAATTTGTCTGCTTTTTAAAATGTAAGCAAAAACATTTTCGCGAAAAATGGCCTTGCTAGGTAGCGCGAGTGCATATTAGGTCAAATGATTCATTTGGCTGTGCGAAATTCCAATTTCATAAACGCAGTTTTACATTATTTTTTGATGCCATTTTCTAAGGAATACTCCAAAATAACAGAAACTTCACTCTGTTTTTGTAAAATAAAAATCACTGTTAGACAGCAATCAAACAAAGTTACACTTTCAAAACGTTATTGACACGTTGTGTGCGCAACCAGTTTATTTCTTAAGTTTAAAGTGCATTTTTTTATGAAGTTCGGATAATTAAAGGAATATATTTAATGGGAAACATGTCCTAATTTAAAAAAAGTGACATTTTATCATTTGTTTGCAAAATAAACTGACTTATTTGCATAACCCCAAGAATTTTCTGTTTTATTTTCATTTATGATTTAATGTAAGCTTTTACAATTTTGTTATCTTTCGGCAAACAAAATGGAAATGGAAATGGATAAACTGGGATTTAAGGAGTTGATCTTATTTTACTTAAGCCGCCGTTTTCAAGAAAAACTGGTTTTNTGTAAGCTTTTACAATTTTGTTATCTTTCGGCAAACAAAATGGAAATGGAAATGGATAAACTGGGATTTAATGAGTTGATCTTATTTTACTTAAGCCGCCGTTTTCAAGAAAAACTGGTTTTTCTGGGCTATCATGCTATTACAAAAGGCGAGGTGTTTGTAGTTTGACTGCTTGGATGTCCAAAGAAAGAAAGGCTTTCTTCGGTTGTCAACCATGTTGAAAAACAAAATTTTTGTGCTGTTGATATTTTCGAAAGTTTCTTGAAACTCAGCGCAAGTGGCGCTGTACAACAACAGCAGCTGTAAAAATTTGCTTGCATTTTAACGGTGGTAAATAGTAAGAATGGAAGTATGTGATAGCAAAAAAAATACCATCCTCAATTTGGATTACATTTCATCTCCTGTAGCATAGCTATGTTACAAAGACACTCGCGTCGAGTCGCAAAGACTATTGATGAGGAGCCTTCGCAAAAAGGCAAAGAGAATCTACGGACTGCAATTTCGAAATTTGTAGCTCAAGGTGAATAGAGCTTTGAACATTCTTTTCGTAAACTAGTTTCAAAAACATTCGTATTCTTTTCAGGAAGTTACCAGCGATTTTTGGTAAATGTGTTACAATGCAGCATTTCCATTCTGAATATAAATAATATCGGTGGACAATTTGGGAAAAATCTTAAGTGAAAATAAAGTGTTTCATGAAGAGAATCTCTCCTCAAGGCATATCTGCGAGACCTACATGTCTAAATATATATATTTTTTTTTAATTAAGGGACCTCGATAATATATATTTTGTTTAATCCCTAGATGAAACCATTTATGTATATGGTTTTGCAGAATGACGATATATATATATAAATACGCCACAAGAAAATTTTACAATCCCTTTTTTGAAGGCACCGTTCGCTCGATTTCAATGAAACATACACCGATTTAAAGGATATAACTTCCTATAATCCAGAAATGTTAATCCCGATACATAGGGGGCGCGGCATTTGACATCTAGACTGCACAGATGCATAGATTGTAAATACCCTACTTATGGCGAAATATGGTAGATTTTGGATAGGGGGCATGGCACCGCCCATACAAACTGAAATTCTCATAGCGCTTATCTCTGGAACCACTTATGCTGACGTCCTGAAATTTGGCACAGCAACATATGTTGTCAATACCGTACTTACGGCGAAGAGTGGTCGATTTTGGATAGGGGGCGTGGCACCGCCCATACAAATAGAAATTTTCATATCGCTTTTCTCTGGAACCGCCTATGCTAACGTCCCAAAAATTGACACAGCAACATATGTTGTTCATACCGTACTTACGGCGAAATATGGTAGATTTTGGCAAAGGGGGCGTGGCAGTGCCCTTGCAAACTGAAATTCTCATACCGCTTATCTCTGGAACCGCTTATGCTAACGTCCTGAAATTTTACACAGCTATTAAAGATAACGTATGTACTTATGGCGAAAAGTGGTAGATAATGGGAAAGAGGGTGTGGCACCGCCCATTCAAACTGAAATTCTCATATCGCTTATAGCTGGAGCCGCTTATGCTGACGTCTTGAAATTTGACACAGCAACATATGTTGTCAATACCGTTCTTACGGCGACGAGTGGTAGATTTTGGAAAGGGGGCGTGGCACCGCCCATATAAACTAAAATTCTAATATCGCTTATTTCTAGAACCGCTTATGCTAGCGTCCCAAAAATTTACACAGCAACATATGTTGTTAATACCGTCCTTTCGGCGAAAAGTGGTAGATTTTAGAAAAGGGGCGTGGCACCGCCCATACAAACTGGAATTCTTATATCGCTTATCTCTGGAACTGCTTATGCTGACATCCTGAACTTTGACACAGCACCATATGTTGTCAATACCGTACTTACAGCGAAGAGTGATAGATTTTGGAAAAAGGGGCGTGGCACCGCCCATGCAAATTGAAATTCTCATATCGCTTATCTCTGGAACCACCTATGCTAACGTCCTGAAATTTGACAGAGCTATGTATGTAATCAATAACGTACTTATGGCGAAACGTGATAGATTTTGGAAAAGGGGTCGTGGCACCGCCCATGCAAACTGAAATTCTCATATCACTTATCTCTGTAACCGCCTATGCTAACGTCCCGAAATTTGACACAGCAACATATGTTGTCAATAGCGTACTTACGACGAAATATGGTATATTTTGGTAAAGGGGAGCGTGGCAGCGCCCATACAAACTGAAATTCTCATATCGCTTCCTTTTTCGTTCTGTTTTCACAAGCTACTGAGGAGGAGACTTGGTAGAATTAGCATTAATCAATCCGGTATTAATGTCCATAATTCGATTTTAAGTTTTCCTGTAAATTCGCTATAAATTATGCTGATGGAATTCAAGATAGTAATTCGCATAAAGGATTTAGTATTGATGATAGGTAAAATTCAAAAGTGTATGAAAAAAGATGTCGAATTTCGACGACTGGGCGATACTAGTGTAGATAATAACTTGCAAAGCCTCTAGTTAAATATACAAGCTAAGATAACTTTTCATATCCACTATTATTATTTAGGCGAAAATCACTTACAGTAGGGAGCATTTTCTTCCGTAAGAAATCCAGGCTCGTATAGAAAAAAGTGCAAGAAGCAGTTAGCAAAAAAACATTAAAAATCAACGCAATTTTGCAGCCGCTGAAGACTTGCACTTTGTTGTACTACAATTTAATGGGGTACAAAAGTGTATACTAAATAAATTATATTATCAGATTAAAAAACTCAAAATTTTAATGAAAATTTTTAACATTTTTCTAAACTCTTTATAAAGTTTTAAAGTGTGATTTATATGACTTTTGTTAAAGCATGAACCATATTTTTATGAAAACAACTTTAAAACCCTTGCAAATATTTAGCAAAAATCACTATGTACCCCTGAAGAGGCGGCAAATCTATTTAGTGAGTATTTCTGCTCAAATTTCGTGGCCGGGCTGGACCATGACAGCAGTCCCACCCAAAATTGTCTCCGACTCTACCCTATCTCAGTCAGTAGCTTAATATGCTCAAACAAACATGGATACGTCAGTGGCCGGTCAACTGTATCCAATCTTACAGTTTTTACTGCAGACTATTTTACAGTCTTTCGGGATGAACATCAGGTTGATGGGATCTATACTGACATCTTTAAAGCCTTCGATAGGGTTTCCCATAAAATCTTAGTGGCTAAATTATCTGACATTGGCTTTCACTCCCCTTTTTTGCAGTGCATTTGCTCTTATTTATATAACAGACATTGCGCAGTCGCCTTTTGACAACGTATCTTCACAAACTTTCGTCGGGCAGTCAGGCGTCCCCCAGGGTAGTTTACTGGGACCTTTGCTATTTAAATTATTTATTAATGATGTCAGCTCCTGATTCCAAATTTCGGAATTTTTTTTTGCACGCCGACGACTTTAAAATCTACTCTACGATCTCCTTCCTTTCTCTCTTGCAGTGTTGTAGTGAATCTGCTAAATTGTACAGTTGACTGCCCTGCCCTATTGGAGAAATTAAACTTCTTTATTCCTGCGCGGTATCTCCGATACG